ATATATATATATATACATACATACATACATACATACATATATATACACATACATATATTAGATCAGTGATTTTTTTCAACCAGCTCTGGCACACTGGTGTGCTGTGGGAGGATCTTAGGTGTGCCATGAAAAATTTTAAACATCATTAAATTATTTTCAAAAGAAGTTCAAAGAACAGTAAGTATATTCTTTTTTTTACTCTTTTTTTTTAAATCAACATGATTTAAGTGTGTCATGGAAGTTTAACTATAGGTTCAAGTGTGCCATGAAATAAAAAAGGTTGAAAAACACTGCTAGATCTTTAGAATTCATTCATCTATAATCAAAATTTTGTACCCTTTGATCAACATTTTCCCACTTCTCCCTCTTCCTGATCCCTGGTAGTACTCATGTAGGAGTTTAACTTTTTATTTTTATTTTATTTTATTTTTGAGACAGAGTCTTACTTTGTCATCCTGAGTAGAATGCTGTGGCATTGTACCTCACAGCAACCTTAAACTCTGGGACTCAAGTGATCCTCTTGCCTCAGCCTCCCATGTTGCTGGTGAAAGATTTCATAACTGAGGGAGATCATGCAGTTTTTGTCTTCCCGTGTCTGAATTATTTCATTAAGCATAATGCTCTCCAGGTTCAACAATGTTGCACATGGTGGGATTTTCTTCTCTTTTTTAAGACTTAAAAATATTCCATTGTACATGCATGACACAATTTCTTTCTCCATTCAACTGTTGACAGATACTTAGGTTGTTTTTATATCTTGGCTATTATGAATAATGCTGCATGAATATGGGAGTGCTAATATCTCTTGAGACAGTGATTTTGTTTCTTCTGGATATGTACCCTGAAGTAGGATTATTGAATCACGTGACAATTCTGTTTTTTTTTTTTTTTAATTGTTGGAGATTCATTGAGGGTACAAAGAACCAGGTACACTGATTGCCTTTGAGTCCCTCTTGTAATTGTGTCCTGCCCCCAAGAGATCTGTCACACACAATGACCCACTCTTCTCTCTCTCCTCTTCCCCATTCCCCCATCCCTCACCATGTACTAGATCATCAATTATCCTCATATCAAAATTGAGTGTTGGCTCGGCGCCTGTGGCTCAAGCAGCTAAGGTGCCAGCCACATACACCTAAGGTGGCGAGTTCGAATCCCCAGCCCAGGCCGCCAAACAACAATGATGGCTGCAGCCAAAAAATGGCCAGGCGTTGTGGCGGGCCCCTCTGGTCCCAGCTACTTGGAAGGCTGAGGCAGGAGACTTGCTTGAGCCCAGGAGTTGGAGGTTGCTGTGAGCTGTGAAGCCATGGCATTCTACCCAGGGGGATAGCTTGAGGCTCCGTCTCAAAAAAAAAAAAAAAATTGAGTGCATTGGATTCTTGCTTTTCCATTCTTGTGATGCTTTACTAAGTAGAATGTGTTCTGCCGCCATCCAAGTTAATACAAAAGATGTAAAGTCTCCACCTTTTTTAGTGGCTGAATAGTATTCCATGGTATACATACCACAGCTTGTTAATACATTCCTGGATTGGTGGGCATTTAGGTTGTTTCCACAATTTGGAAATTCTGTTTTTAAATTTTTGAGAAATATCCATGTTATTTTTCATATTGGCTTCGTCTACTTACATTTCTACTATCAACGTGTTATAAATTTCTCGGCATCCTTGCCAATACTTGCTATTCTTTGACCTTTTTTTTGAGACAGAGTCTCAAGCTGTCACCCTGAGTAGAGTGCTGTGGCGTTACAGCTCACAGCAACCTCCAACTCTTGGGCTTAAGCGATTCTCTTACCTCAGCCTCCCAAGTAGCCAGGAGTACAGGTGCCTGCCACAACAACTGTTTATTTTTGTTGTTGTTGCATTTGTCATTGTTGTTTAGCAGACTGGGGCTGGGTTCAAACCCACAAGCCTTGGTGTATGTGGCCAGCACCCTAACCACTGAGACACAGGTGCCACCATCCTTTGACTTTTTGATGATAGCCATTCTACCAGGTGAGAGGTTTAGTCCATTGTGTTTTTTGTTTGCATTTTCCTGATAATTAGTGATGTTGAGCACCTTTTCATATGCCTGTTGGCCACTTTTAAGTTTTCTTTGGTAAAATGTCTATACAGGTTATTTATCATTTTTAGTCATGTTATTTGCTTTTTTGCTGTTAAGGTGTTATGTGAATTTTGGGTATTAACTCCATAATGGACATGTGATTTGCAAATATTTTTTCCATTTTGTTCGTTGCCTTTTTATTACGTTGTTTCCTTTTTTGGTGAAAAAATTAAATTTTTAATTTGATCAATCTTACTTGTTTGTTTTTGTTTTTGTTGCCTGTGCCATTGGTGCCATATGTAAAAAATTCGTTACTAGGAATTCTGTTTTCTTCTAGAAATTTTATGGTTTGCTAGTATTATGTTGAAGATTTTTACATCTATGTTTATAGGGGATATTGGTCTGAAGTTTTCCTTTTTCTGTTATGGCTTTTCCTGACTTTGGTGTCAAGATGATGTTGGCTTTGTACAATGAATTATCTTTCCTCTTGATGTTATGGAATACTTTCTGTAAGACAGCTTCCATTTTTTTAAGGTCTGGTAGAATTTAGCTATGAATTGATCTACTACAGAGACTTGTTTGTTGGGAGATTTTTAATTACTGCTTCAATCTCTCTACTTATTAGCATCACACTCTAACTAACTGAGCTGATCTTCACTACTTATTATTTTTTCAAGATTTCTATTTCTTCCTGACTCAGATTTGTGAGGATGCATGTTTTTAGGAATTTTTCCATTTTCCCTAGGTTTTCTAGTTTGTGTGCTGTTGAATGATTATCTTGTTGAGGATTATCATGAAAAAGTGTACTTGATGTTAAGTATCAAGTATCATTCAACAGCAAGTTGTTTAAATTCCATGACTTTGTGTAGATTTGAGTGTTTTGTCTTTGAATTGATTTCTAGTTTTATTCCACTTTGGTCTGACAAGATACATGGTGTAATGTTGATTTTTTTATTTGTTCTGACTTGTTTGTGGCATAACACATGATCAATTTTGAAAAATGTCCCATGCACTGATGAGAAGAATGTTTATTCAGTAGTTTTGGAGAAGAATGTTCTGTAAACATTTTTTAGGTACATTTGTTCTAGAGTCACATTTAAGTCTAAAGTTTTTAAAATTTATTTTCTGCTGTGATGATTTCTCCAGTTCTGTCAGTGGGGTGTTGAAGTCCCTGCAAATTATGATGCTACTGTTTATTTCTTTGCTTTAATTCATAGAACTTCCTTTATGAATCTAGGAGGTTTTTTGCTAGGTGTATATATATTTAGGATTATTTTGTCCTCTTGTTAATCACTCCATTTACCATTATGTAATGACTATTTTTTGTTATTTTTTTAAACCATTGTTGATTTAAAATCTATTTTATCTGATACAAGAATGGCTACACTTGCTTTCTTTTGGTTTCCATTTGTTTGGAATATTTTTTATATCCCTCTCACTTTGTCTATGTGAGTTAGATGTGGTTTTCTGAGGCAGTATTTGGTAGTGTTTTTCATACATTCAGCTGATGTCTATTTTTTTTCTTAATAAGTCTACTTCCTATTACCTAAAAAGAATTGGAATTTAATCAATACCTCCACCACTTCTTCTTCAACTCAAAACCAACAACTAATAGAGCTTTTCCAATCTTAACTATTTTAAAAAAGTATCCAAATTAGGAAAGAGGAGGTAAAATTATTCCTATTTGCTGATAATATGGTCTTGTATGTAGAAAACCCTAAAAACTCCACCAAAAGCCTTCTGCAATTGATAAATAAATTCAATAATGTCTCAGGTTACAAAATCAAAGTACTCAAATCAGTAGTATTTCTATATTCTAACAGTCAAGTTGAGAGTATAACCTAGGCTTCAGTAACATTTACAACAGCTACAAAGGAAATAAAATGCCTAGAAATATACTTAATCAAGGAGGTGAAAGATCTCTACAAGAAAAACTACAAAACACTGATGAGTGTGCAGGTGACACAAACAAATGGAAAAACATCTCATGCTCATGGATTGGTAGAATCTAGATCATTAAAATGCCCATATTGCCTAAAGTGATTTACAGAGTAAACACAATTCCCATCAAATACCAATGTCTTATTTCAAAATCTAGAAAAAAATAATTCTAAGCTTCTTTTAGAACCAAACAAATAGCCAAGGCAATCTTAAGAAAAAAATGTGGAGAAATTGCACTACCTGACTTCATATTATACTAGAAGGCTATAGTAATCAAAACAACATAATACTGGTATAAAAGTAGAGACATAGACCACTGGAACACAATACAGCTTCATCTCTTCCTCTACTCCAAAACAAAGTTTTTTGTCTTCATGTACAATGTACATACAATGTGTATACTGAAAGCTTTTGTTCACTATTCAAAACTGTCATTTGCCATCTTGTGCTCAATTTCTCATTCAACTTAGAGAACTTTCTAGGGCAGAGCTTATCTCAAGCCTATAATTGCCTTTGAAAACATAATATACAATAAAAGAGAAAGATGGGGGATGTTTATTAAATTTTTATTGTGCATAGTTATTATTTTTTAGGAAATTGCTAAATTTTCTGTCTGAGTGACTCAAAAGTGAATTGAGAAATTGCACATGACACACTGACTTAGTGCTCTAAACATACTTATGGAAGTTTTTACTGACTTTTTTTTTTTTTTAAAGGGGTATTGCTTTCTCAATTTCCTTTTTTGTTCTTTGCCACATCTCCCAGAGTGAATCAAGGTAAATCCCTTCTTCTTTGAAGAGATTTCTTCTTTTGAGTTATCTCGCTTATATTTGGGAACTTTCTGATCTCACCAGAATAGGTAAAACTGGTGCTCAGTTTCCAATATTTCTCAATATATGTCTCTATCCACAGAAATACATGCTCGGGGGAAAAATAAGAGGTTCCTATTTTTTTCTGACCACTGAACAAGAACACACTAATCATACAATGGGGCTAGAAGAATCTCAAAGTAAACGTGAGTACTTTCTCTCATTTCAATTTCAAAGAGGCAGTTGGAATTATGATCAAATTTAAAGAAATGAGTGTAGCTCATAAAGACTGAGTGTAGCTTTAAAGATTGTAGATGATAGTGATGGAAGGAAGAGGTAGAAGGCAATGATGATGAATTTGGCCAAGAAGAAGAACATAGATTCAAATAAGTTGGGTAACAGAACCTTCTTTATAAAATGTAGATTGAACCAAAAGAGGAGATAAAGAATATAAAAGAGAAATAAGATGAAAAGAGAATAAAGTGGGGAGATTATTTTATTTTATTTATTTATTTAGAGATAGAGTCTCACTTTGTCATCCCCAGTTGAGTGCCCTGAGCTCATACCTCACAGCAACCTCTAACTCTTGGGCTCAAGAGATTCTCTTGCCTCAGCTTCTGGAATAGATGGGACTGCAGGTACCCACCACAATGCCTGGCCATTTTTAAAGATGGAATCTTGCTCTAGTTCAGGCTGGTCTCAAACTCTGAGCTCAGGCGATCTGCCCACCTTGGCCACCCAAAGTGCCAGGATTACAGGAGTGAGCCTCTGCTTCTGGCTGGAGAGATTACTTTAAAGGGTGGAGGGAAAGGAAGATATAGAAAACATACTAACTTTGACTCGGTGCCTGTAGCTCAGTGAGTAAGGCACCAGCCACATACACTGAGGCTGGCAGGGTTGAACCTGGCCTGGGCCTGCTAAACAATAATGACAACTGCAACCAAAAAATAGTGAGGCACTGTGGTAGGTGCCTGTAGTCCCAGCTACTTGGGAGGCTGAGGCAAGAAAATCTCTGAAGCCCAAGAGATGGAGGTTGCTGTGAGCTATGACCCTACAGCACTCTACTGAGGGCGACATAGTAACACTCCAAAAAAAAAAAAAAAGGAAGAAAAGAAAAGAAAACATACTAATTTGGGTTCATGATATATTAGAGGTTCTGACTGAATTTGAATTAAATGATACTAATGGTTTTGTATTGCAAAAACATTGATATTTTTGAGAAATATATAGCATAAATGAAGAAATATGTAAAGTTAAAATTAAAGTTTTGTTTCATCTATTCATCCTAGCATGGCAAACTTCAATAGGATCACACAGTACAAAATTCTGAAAAGTACCTTTTTATGCAACAATATGTCTTGGAGATTTTTTATGCTAGTACATACCGCTATACATGATTATTTAATTACCATATAGAATTTCGTTAGATGAATTCACCATAATTTAGAATTTCTACTATTGATAATACACATGTAAATACTAGGTTCCAGGGTTTTTATTTAATTTCCGAAGTATTGCAATGTATGTCCTTTAGCATAAATAAGTTGTTATTCCCATAGGATACATATCTGTAACTGAAATTTTTATGGTAAATGTTATGCATTTAAAAATTGATCAGTGGGGTCGGTGCCTGTAGCTCAGAGGTGCAGGTGTCCTCAAACTATGGCCCACTGTCCACATGTGGCCCACCAAGGACATTTATCCGGCCTGCCAGGTGTTTTTGCCACCTCTACCTGTCCTGCTTAGCTGCTGCCTGTCCTTTTAAGCTATGGTCTGGCCTTCCAATGGTCTGAGGGACAGTGAACTGGCCCCCTGTTTAAAAAGTTTGAGGACTCCTGGTTAGGGTGTCAGCCACATATACTGGGGCTGGTAGGCTCGAACCCAGCTGGGGCCTGATAAACAAC